TGAGGCTCCAGATTGATGGGAGGTAGATGATGGCACGGGTGGGCACGAGCTCACTAGAGCCTTCCAACTTCCTACCCAACTGCCGCTAAGTCAAGCTACAGTTCTCTAGGGAACGCCTCTACCTTGGCAGCCCTCTCTGTCTCGCCTTCGCTGAAATAAAAAGAAACAAGAGATTTCTTTTCACGGCACTGCCGAGAGAAAGGGGGCAACTCCCGGGTACCGGCAACCCTGAGGACGGCAAGCGATCACCGACCCAGTACAGCCAGCAAACGGGGGGAGTGGGAGGCGAGGGGAGGGATTTGGGGTGACCGGAGCGGTGGTCGGAGTGTCTAAACGTGCCCTCGACCGAGCGAAAAGCCAAGCCCTTGCTGTCCCCAACCGCGGCGGCATGTCCCAAAGGGTCCCGGCGAGAGCATCGGGGCAGAGATCCCGTATCCCCCATGCCAAGCGGCGAGCGCAAGAAAGCCAACAGCAGCCCAAGATGTCACGGCAGGCGAGAGCCAAGCAGGCTGAGGTCCCCTGCGTGTGTCCCCCCAAAATCCCAGCACACCCTCACCGCCATGGGACAGACAGGGCACAGTGACGCTGGCGTAGCCATGTCCCCACCACATCCCGTGGCCGGACGAGGGCAGAACCCAGCTCTGCCCTCCACCGGGCTTCAGTTTCCCCAAAAAACACAAGGCCACGGCCCCTCTCCCCCCGTAAGGACAGGCTTCCCCCCGCATGCAAGCAGGGTCTGCCTGGAGCAGCAGGGTTTTCCAAGGGAAAGCGAGTGCCCCTCCGCAAAAAAACCCGTCCCAGAGTCACCGGGGTGGGAAGCAGCACCCAGCACCATTCTACTTCCATCCTCAGGGAACCCACATCCCTCCCTACCCAGATTGTCCTCATCCGGGAGGGATTTACCCCAAAGCAGAGGTGGCAGAAGGCAGGCGAGGCCGGGGAAGCAGAAACGACGGGCGAGACCCGAAATCGCCATCGCTGGGGGGGGGGGGGGGGGGGGGCAGACCGCGCGCCAGAAGAATTCACCCAAGATGGAACCAATTAAACCCCACGTTTCCGCCCCCCGAAGGGCTGTTAACTGGTGTTTCTCCTTCAGATTTTAAGTAAAACCAACCCAAAATGAGCCCTGGCGTAAACCTCATCGTGGTATGGGGGTCCCTGCATGAGAAAAGGGGTGCACAGGGATGAGGAGCCAAGCACCGGCGTGAAGCAAAAGGGGAGGCAAAGCCACGCTGGGGACCACGGCGGGGTGTCCCCCCCTGAGGATGAAGGAGGGGGGAACCAGGGAGGCAACACTCCCAAAAGATGGGGGTGGAGACAGCGCAACCCCAAATCCCCAGGGTCGAAACACCATCCATCCGTCCCATCACCGATGGGACGCACCGAAGGGGACAGGGGGACAGCCCGTAGGGAAACCCGGCGCTCGTGGGGTGACGCTCATGCCAAACATGGGGCCCGTGTCCCCCTGAAAACACACCATTCCCCAGCACTGGGGGGGGTTACCTGCTTCCCCACACCCCCAAATACACTCACCCCCCTAAAAGAGCCCAGCCGGGCACCCCACAAGGCAAAGCCGGTGCCCACAAACCAGCCAGCTCAGGGGGCAGCCGCCCCCCCGAGGCAGCAAGGGGGGGTCTGCAGAGCACCCATGGGTGACGCCGAACGCCGACAGGACCACCGCAGCGGGGCAGGGGGTGGGGAAACCGAGGCACAGGTGGCTTAGCAGGGGTTCGCCCCGAGGACGTAGCGAGCGCGCACCAAATCCAACATGCACTTGTCGTGACATCGCACCCGCCAACCGAAAATCCACATTTTTTTTTAAGGCAAAAAAAAATAACGGGGAGGGGGAGGTGGGGGGTGGTCAAGGGAGAAGAAGATTATTTTACGCGTATAAATACACGTATCTTAAAACGGAAATTTCAAGCGGTCACACTTACGCCGTGAGCGGGGTCCCCTCCGCCGCTGGATCCAGTCCCCTCCCCGCAAGGGGGGTGAGTGGTCAGGTGGCCCCCCACGCCCCCCCAAAATCCCCCAGGGAGGGCCAAAATCCACCCCCACTAACATACAAATATATATACGCACATGATAATACATGTATTATTATCTGCATATATATATTCTTTTTATATGCATATATACAATTACGTGCATACACATCATTAAGCGCATATACATTATTTTACGATGTAAATATACATATATATAGGGTTGGTTTTTTTCCTCTGGTCCCCTCAATAAAGCTGGCATGCCCACCTCTGCGAGTACTGGCGTTGCTTCCCCTTATCCGCGTCCATCTCCAGCTCTAGCTGAGACCGGGTGCTGCACGCGGGGCGTTTTTCTACGGGGGGACAAGGAGGACAACTTCACACACCCCCACCCCACCGCCAGCCCCCGGCGCGCGAGATCCCAGAGCGGAGGAACAAAAGCGAAGCGGCTCCGACCTACCCGACCCGTGGGAACGTGGGGTTTTTCCTGAAAATAGAGAGAAAAAAAAAAAAAGAAAAAAAAAGAAAAAAAAGAAAAAAAAAAAAAGGCAATTTTTTTTTAAGCCCGGTTTACCCCCAAGCTGCCTGCGAAGCCGCGGGATGGGGAGCTGGCTGGAAAATCGGGGTTGAAATCCATCCCCTCACCCCGGACCCTCCGCCTCTCGGCAAATTGCACGCCGGGAGGGACCGAAAACTTTTTTACCTCTCTGCTAAAATATCACTTTATAATCTCAAAAGGCCTCGGGCTTGAAGCCGCTATCGCTTGCTCCATCCTCCCCGGATTAAAAAACCCGGCTGATGTCCGAAGGACAGCGGGGCCAGGGAAAAAAAAGAGACAACCGAGGAGCATCCTCCGACCTTGCAGGGTATTTGCTGGAGAAAAAGAAATAAATCAGCAAATTAATCATTCCTGGGTTAAAACACATCTTCGTCCGGCTTCGCGGCGGCCACGCCGGCTCTAAGCTCCCCCCCGGGCCCCCGACGTGGCCAGGAGATTATGGATGTATAAATAGTATACGGCTAAATATACGTCCAGGCAGACAGACAGACCTCTCTAAGCACCGCCACGGAAATTTGGGTCCCTTGCTA